ATTTGGTCTCCTCTGTCTTTAAACTGAATATTTCTATCAATGAGAAGTTGTTGGGTCAAGAAATTATTTAAGTTTCATGCAATAATTATTTTTAAAACTCACTCAACTAGAAGAGCCTAATCTGGCAGATAAGAACATACTGTAGGAACGTAGGAGCACAAGAAAGATTACAAACGAGAGGAAGCCATTCAGACCTGTAGTAGCTAATTTTTCCAAGGATTGTTGAAGGTGTGGGCAGCTTGTTCCAAACACACAACCTTTTGTGTAAGGAAATGCCTCCTGTACTTGGTTTTAAATACACTTCCAAGTAGTTTCCACTTGAGTTCTCTGGTTTGTTTTTCACACTGTATTCTAAAGAAGTCCTCTGGGATGACTTTGTGAAAGTCTTCTCTGTTCAAAATATAAAGGGCTCAGTTCTTTTAAGTGCAGGAATGTATCGGAATGCTCTTCTGAATGAAGCAGCAAGAAGAGCACCAGTATCTTTTTTGTTACATGGTGGCCAGAATTATATTCTAAATGACTTAATGGTAAATTGACATACAGTATGACATAACATCCTTTAACTTTAATTCCACACTTTTAATTATATGCTAACATTTTGTTTGCTTTTTTTACTGCTTCCTCACATTGCCTAGAATATGTAAGTGGTGTAGCCAGCAGCCATCTCACCCTGCAGCTCTCAACTGCCTACCCACTGAAGCTGAACAGGGTTGATCCTGGTCAGTACCTGGATGTGAGACTTCCTGGGAAGCAATGTTTGCTGTTGGAAGTAGTGTTAGTGGGACTGGGGGAGGGGGGGCACACCCACTCGCAGTCCGTGTGGGTCCTAATGCGGGGACACTATACTGTAGTGGGCGCTGTCTTTCGGATGAGACGTTAAACCGAGGTCCTTACTCTCAGTGGTCATTAAAGATCCCTGGGCATTTCTCGATAAGAGTTGGGAGTTACCCCAGTGTCCGGGCCAAATTTCCCCCCTCAGCCTTTACTGTGGCCTCCAAATTGCCCCCATGTATGACTGGCTTGCACTGGCCCTGTTATGGACTGGCGCTCTGTCCAGTCCTGTCCTGCTTGCTTGCCGGGTAGGCTCCGGCTTCCCACGACACCGCATGGTATAAAGCGGTTTAGCAAATGACATGACATGACATGTAAGTGATGTGCCACTAGAAACTTTTCAAGTTCAGAAGCTCTTCAGGTTCAGTGTTTCTCATTCTCATTTCTGCTTCCTGGTTGTAAAGTTCTGCACTTATCTGCATTGGATGTAATTTACTAGTTTTTTGCCTAGTCTTGAATATTATCTAAATTTTCTAAATTCTATTTACTACTTCAACAGTTTTCTTTTTTACTAATCCTTCTCTTTTTCATCTTCTGCCAACTTTACTAGTTTACTAACTTTACCAGAATCTATTTTATTGATATAAATCAGTGACAAAAGCAGTGGTCCATCAACCAATTCTCAATCTAAACACATGCATTTCATTGAATGCCTATCACCTGTCATTTATACATTTATAGAAATCATCTGGAAATCTAAATATATCATATTGTATGTGTCTTCATTACAGGTATTGTTTATTCAAAGACCTCAGAGTTAAACAAGTTCAGTAGTTAAGCAAGACCTATATTTTCTAGGTCCATGCTGACTATCCTCTAGGATCTTATATCTATTTTTATCATGTTATGTTTTTTATTTTTTAAATTTCTTAATAAGGATATTAAGTTATTAAATCAAATAAGATCAATAGGACATCTCTGTTCCCTTGTGTGCAACATACTGTATGTATGATACGACACTACATGAATAAGGGCTAAATTAAATTGAGTCTTCAACCCACCTGCTAATTCCTCATTATACACCAAGTGCAGTCCTTGATGTCAGGATTCTAGTGGGTACAAGCAAGGATCTTCTCACAAAGAAAAAGCTGCTGTCAATTACTGGGTTTGTAGTTTAAATTCGGACAGATGGGTTGAGATTTTAATCTGGGCTGACAATGTTCAAGAGGGAATTTATTTTCTTTATTTACTATGTCTGAATTCTGTTTACTTTCTAAAGTCTATTCATTGATTTTCCTACTATCATCATTCTCAGTAGGGCCGTTTGAATTATTTCAGTATGGCCTATAAACTAACTAAATGTGCCTGTCTCTGACAAAACTATTTCTCTGAAGTAATAGGAGTCCAGCTCTTGTAAAAAGAAAAGTAATTCTTGCAGAGTACAGCGGTTTGATATCCAGGGGGAAGATATTTTTTTGCTTATTTCAAGCAAAGTCTGACATGCCAGTTGTATTACCACTTAAAGTGTAGCCTATATCCAGACCCTTATTATCAGCAAGACCACTGTGGATAGATTATTACTAGAGGGGGTAGAAGGCTTCATACATGGCTGACTGCATGGTACGGAGTAAGAGAGAACGAAACTCTCCAGTACCAAGACCAGTGTTTCTTTGTAGATTAGGAAACCTTCATTAGAATTCACTCCACTGCCTACCTTTGTGCCTCTTTGTTGACAAAAAGATAATGAACAAAGGGTGAGATTGGGAGCAGCTGTGAGAAATGAAATCAAGCAATCAGGAGCTATGAAATGAGAAGGTATTCTTTGCTCCTTCTTTTGTTGGTTTTACATGAAGGGAGCACAGTTTGTCTGAGAATCCATGACCCCCTCCAGGTGCACTGCTCCACATTTTCCAGCCAGAACTCTGAGAGGTCCTTTTATATTAGTAGGCTGAACAGAGTTTCCACATTTTGTTAGCATTTCAGATTCTGAGTCTGGGAATAATATGTCACCTGGGTTTTCCAATGCTAATGCTAATGATTTCTGCTCTCCTTGGAGAGTGATGAAAATCAGTTTTTAATTTCTATTTGTGAGAGATCAGAAAGCAATTTGTTGCATTGTGTTTTATATCCCTAACCTGCATAAGAGGCATTCAGTTTTCTAGCTTGGATCCTAGATTAAATATTTCGGATACTGACCTATTTTCCTGACACAGTACATTTAGAATGTTTTTCATGATAGATGGATTGTTCAATATATAGAGATACCAGACAGACCTATTTTTATATTTCCAGGTTAGAAAGAATCAGCATTGATGAGTTTATTTCTAACCACAGTGAAAGTAAAATGTACTCAGTAACATGTGAAACCTCCAATTTACAACACAAAATACTCTACATTAAATTTCCAGGTACTGTATTTGCAGCACCATGTTGCCGTCATCGTCTGCGATTCAGAATGAGGCAAGAAAGCATCCGATGGTGTGAAGAGGCCCTATTACACTGTAAACAAGCAGACTTTTGAATACATATCTTTTAATCCCATACAAATTTTTATTTTGATTTTGTGATGGTTTTGCCGACAATTACTACTTGTTAACTCTGCATTCGGATCATGTTGGAACATTTCTGTGGTGAAATGTCTGCTGCAAAACCCGTTCTTATCCTCTCGGACACACTACATTAGTCATTACAGTGACTGGTGAGCAGGAAGGGCTGGTTTATGGCACATTTCTTGCAAACTCTCACGCTTGCCTGTGGCACGGCCAGTGGTTTGCAACAGCGTGGTGACCACACAGCACTTTTTTTATGAAATTCACGATTTTGTGCTTTATTTGAAATTTGTAAAATTTTGCAATAGCGTCAATGAATTTATTTTGCTACTGAGATATAATAACCAGTGTGAGTAATTGAGGCTGCTGTTTCCCTTTAAGGTGTTGGTTTATGATTTACAGTATCTAGTGTTTGACATGCCACTAATAATTGTCTTTGCACTTTGGTTGTACCTTTGCATTTCTTCATTTATTTACTTTTTGCGATGATTTTGCTTCTTTTTATAACATAAGCATTTACCATTTACCAACAAGAGGAGGCCATTTTGTCCATTTTGCCTGTGTGGGTTTTAGTAGCTTGTTATTGTATATACAGTACTCCAAAACATTTTGTGTAAATACACAACTCCTGTGAAACTTTCTTAGTTTCCAGTTGTGTCCTGTAGTTCATGTTTCAATGCTGATTCAAAAGAACTCCCTTGATCTGACTTTGTCCATAATCTTTTGAGTTTTTTAAATACTTGATCAGGTCCCCCCTATCATTTTTATTCAATTTATTTTTAATTTGTGAAGAGAATAAGATTAAAATGATTCAGTTCTATTAGCCTGTCAATGTATATTTTTTAACTTTGTGTCATATACTGCAGTTACATGTCAAAACCTGCAGTTTTTATTGTTTCTAAAGTACTGTAGTAGGGGTGATTTTATGCTTACTTTAAATTTTGTCTTATTTCAATATACTGTAAGAAGCATACTATACTTTAAAACAACTAGTTTAAATGTTTGGTCTTGAGTAATTTTTGCTTTATTACCTTGAATAAACATTTTGTGCTACAGTACATATGCTTTCCTTATTGTATTTTTGGTAATTGTTTGTTGTGCTGTACAATATGAAAGTGGTATTCTTTAAGTGTTTGTATGGGATGAATTCAAGTAAGTAATATGTGGATTTCCTTGAAAGCTGCCAGTATATAAGCATTTCAAGGTAAACATCTGAATTTTTGAGAATCTCACACTGAATTGAACACAGCTGTCATTGTTAGCCCCCATAGAATACTGTACACCTTTATTGCAGGCCCACGCTTTTTGAATAATCTGCTATAACTGAATGGCTGTTCTGTTTCTCTTTTTGAGCACTTTGGTTTCAATAAGCGATCAAAGTACCTTCGCAATGTTACAATCCTCTGCTCAATGACAGACATGTATCACTGTAAGAGCAAGGGAGAAAAATGTTTTACTGATGATCAACAGCAGCAGGTACTTTCTAGCCTTTTGCTAGTTTGTATTACATGATGATTTGCTTGTACTACCACTTCAAAAAAAGGCACATGGTGATCAAGAATATTTACAACAAAGTGGAATACGCTTTCAAGGTTTTCTCTGAAACAGTAACAAAACGTGCAGTGGAAGTTGATTCAATAGTGGAATATCTACCTCATGTCAGTATTTTCTTATGTTCAGTTCAAGATAGCGACAGTGATGAAGAATTGGAAATGAAGCTAAGAAAAACTGACATCACCACTAGAGCTGTGGACAGGCAGGACAGATCACAGGTAAAGTGAATTTTTAGTTTTCATCATTACTTTGCCTTCACATTCACTTCAGATCCATTAAAATAATATATAAGCAACAGTATTCAATAGACTTTATCTTTTTTTACTGATGCCCTCTAAGCAATCAATTTAACATGCAGTCTGCTTTCCCAATGGTATAACCCTTTATTCCAGAGCATATTATTCCAATTATTTATCCTGTCTTGTCTCATACAGTCTGGAATAAATCCCTTCAGCCATAATGATTGACAGACTCTGTTTCTGCTGTGTTATAGTTGTATTTGTCAATTTAATTGATTGTTGTAGCTCCTGCAGATGGCTGGCATAGATAAAATATTTATGAAGACCTCCTAATAAGAAAAGGGACAAACCCGTTCCTTAAGAAGCTTTAGATAAGGAATGTTTTACTAGCAATTAATCTTTCAGGTAAGAGGGTTTTACAAAATACTGAATCTTCACTCTGGGATGGAAGATATCAAGAGATGCTCTATATGCTTATTAGAACTAGTCATTATAATAACCATCCCTCACAGACCTCCCTGACAAATTTCAAAGTTTCTTCTGAAAAATTTAGAAATATTAATGGTATTTAGAAGTATATATAGAAGTATTTTGAAATATTAGCTAATTAATTCTACGAACTAATAGAAAAATGCTTTTTGGAGTTCAATTTTTAATTGTGAAAATCCTAAAACAACTCTCCATAAAATATGTACTCTAAAGAGGTACAGTATGTAGTTTGTTGTTTGTTGTAACAGAGATTTTAAGAGTTATTCATCATTATGAACTGAACTATAATATATAACTTTAATATAACTTTGTATAAGCATACAGTATATCCATATTGTACTTGGTTTGCAGTGTCTTGCACTTTGCATGTGAACCCAAAAAGGGAAAATTAGGGAAAATTAGAACAAAGATGTTAAAATTCTGCTAAAACAATGACAATGTAAAGCAACAGCATGTTCTAAAAAGAGCAAAACATGTTTTAGTTTGATATTGTGCTCTCTCTTCGCTACATTTCTAGCCTGATGAAGCCTGATAACATAAAACACTTTAAATAAATGAAGCCAGTTTCAGCTTGTTATGTCTTTGTTTTAATGTAGTGTGTGTACTTGGCTGGCATACTGTACAGTTATTTGAAGCAGGCTGAAGATTAAGTTCAAATGTTCTTATTGTTGTATCTGACCAGGGCAAATGCAGTAGTGCTGACAGAGCATCAATAATTTCAAACAGGGCATAAATGTAAGATGAACTACCCTCACATATTCTTTACAATACTACAGACATCTACAGTATGTCATTGAGGAGGGCTCTCTCCTTTCACAGAAGGTGCTGAAACAGAGCATTGTGAGTAAACCATATGGAGAAACTGTACATTTAATTCTCTCATTAAGACATATTTTAACATATTTCAGTATAAACTGTATACCAAGGGAAAATAAATACTCAGTAATCAAAATATGTCTCCTTAGTTTAGATTGCATGCTTTCTTTTGATGCTCTCAAGCAAGTTTGGACAGTTTCATGACAAAGGAGAACTATCTTTTATAATTTTCTTTTTTTGCTGATTTGTGAAGCTTTCAGACAAAAGACGAATGCACCTCAGCACTTGCCGAATGATCACAAATCACACCAAACTGCTCTCACAGCATGACCCATGATCCTGTTTTTTTCACATTTCACCCACAGCTTCAGATATCACAGCTGATTGAGGATTAGTATCAGTCATGGCTGACAGTGGTTTAGATAGACTACATTGTGATAGAGCTAAATGTTCCAGGTCAGGTTTGAAACTGACCCCTGTGAGGGGTATTCTTTTCTCTGTTAATACCTGCTGAAATAGATGCAAGGAACACTGTGGTTTGGTCAGAGAGCAAGTGTGCTTCATCATACCAGTTCAGATTCTGGACATATTCAAGTAAGAGACCAGGAGATACAGTATTTGTATGTACAGTATAATAGCTTTTCATCCAAGTCTGGTGCTTGTGTTTCTTTCTTGACAGGATTTAGCATTGAAACGTCATGTAGACGTAAGTGACAGGCAGTTACAGAGGAGGACAGATGCTGAAAGGCAACGCAACAAAAAACGACAGAGAGAAAAATTAAGGTAACCCAGCCACTCACCTTTTATAGCAGAGTAAATTACCCACTATAAAAAGTGCAAAACCTTGATATGTTGTTACACTTGATCTGATTTTTTTGGAATCTAGTAAACACGCACTGTAATTCCCTATATTTGATCAAGTTTTCCTTAGCCTTAACAATTCATTTGTCTTTCTTTCACAATGCTTCCTATCATTGCCAAGTGTTTAAGATAATTTAATAAGGTTCACTGTAGCAATTCTTGGAATACCTTATCAGGATCAATTAATATCTAAATATCTCAAAACGATCACACATAAAAACTAATATTCAATAATAGCTTTTCTTATTTTGAAGTGGTTTTTAACACTGACATTCATTTTAAGACAATATGACAGGTATCCTGAAAGTGATTCAGGATACCTGAAAGTGATTCAGGAGGTATCAGTGAGTAATAAAGTTTTAAAGTAAAACATCTAGTCATATAATGAAATGTTTTTTTCATCAATAACTTTTTTTTAGTTTCGGAATGTAAAAATTCAAAGTTAAAAAAAAGTTTTGTGACAGATGGTAAGTACTGTAGATATTGTGGTAGCAGGTGCTATTTAATTCTCCACCATGATGCACAAATTGCCATTTCCACTGTACCAGAAAGGACTTTTTTGATACAGTATGACAGACTTTGAATAAAGAAAAGCTTTAAAATCTTAATGGCTAAGATGAGGATATCATTTTGCTGCTTCTTGAAAGAAGCCAGATTGGCAGCTTCGACAAAATGACTGGGTAGCTTTATCCAGACTCCCACAATCCTTTGTGTAAAAAAAATCCTCCCACTCCTTTTACTGTTGGTCCCGAAGAAGTCCAGTGGGTCGACCTTTATCAGTGTCATGGGAGATTTTGAATATTTGAGTCAGGTTCTCTCAAAGTCATCTCTGTTAAGCATAAAAAGATGAAAAAAGGTTTTTTAGATTGTCAGAGTAGGAAATTCCTTTAAGATCAGGAAAGACTGATTGTTTCTTATATGTAAGTGTGGGGACCAAAACTGTAAACAGTATTCTAAAGGGGCTTTGACTAATGCAAATTGTACAGTTTTAATATAACATCTCTTTATTTCTACAGTTTAAATTAACGTAACATTTGTCTTTTTTTGCTTCAGGACAAAAATAATGTGTCAACATAAACACCTGTTTTTTTTCACTGATAGCCGCTTCTCAGATCCACAGTTTGTTTTTGTTAGTTGCATGTAACACTTTAATTTAATCTGCCATTGCTTTCCCAGTATTTAATTTTGTCTATGATATCCTTTGTAGCTACAGTATGTTTGCTAATCCTTATACTGTATGCTGGTGTGATTTGGGAGCATGACCTGGTTAATAATTATACCAGCATTTACCTCAGTGATATCAACTAGGTCCTAATACTGATTCCTGTGGTACTCCATTAGTGATCCTCAATTTGAATATTTCATAGTAGAATGCGTAATGCTATTAGCAGAAGTTTTTTATACTGTATATAACACCTCTTTTTGCCTTAAGTTCAACTGGCAGAATACCATCAAGCTATGGAAATGTGTTCATCTTGTGCTTTTAATACTTGTAACATTCTTTTGTATATTTTATGCTAAATGCAAATGAAATAAAATCTGCCAAATTAGCAGGATTTTCATAAAACATGAAGACCTATGACAAACATATCCTCTATGAAGACTGAAATCCATTCACCACACTAGGTGGTCCAATTAAGATAGAAAAAAGTTTCAAATGTATCTTTCATGTGATTTTTTAAAAATTGTACTTGATATGAACTACTATATTTGTGTTATTTTTTCAGTCAGCAACTGTTTTTTATTTTAAGAATATTGTGGATTATATTTATAATTTTCAAGTGCTAATATACCATATGTAAATCAAACAAATTTGGAAGGTTGGAAGAAAATCTGTTTTTGCAAAACTGTTTTTGCAGTTTCTGCAAAATCTGTTCAATTACGGTTTTCTTGGTTTTGTAGGCAGAACCCGAGAAATGCTGGTACTGGAGAAGGAGTACTTTCTCAAAAGCACTTTCTCAAGTCACAGGCACAGGAAGAATGTATTCAGAGCACGGAGACCTCAAAAGAAAAAGAAAAGAGAAAGCAGAGGAGAACCAGAAAAGAAAAAGAATTTGATGCATGGAGGAGAGCACAGGCCGAGGTATTGTTTATTACTGCCATTTCTTAGCATTATACATGAGAAGACAGGTTTCTTAAATATAGGATTCTGTATTTGCTGAACTATATTTATTTCTTGCTAAGAAGAATATAATTTTAAGCTTTTATACTGAAACAACATTTTGCATCTCTTAACTGTGATGTAAAAAAGTACTATAATAATAAATGCATGGATTCTAACATTACACACGCAGTATTTAATTAGAGTGGGAGAGAAGTACTAGGTGGTGCTTCCTCTTTCGTGGTGTGAAAGTTTTACTTGATTTTCAATCACAGGTTTTAAAATAATTAATCAAACAGAGTGTTTTACCAATGCAGTTTCGAAGTCAATTTACCTCTCCCATTATCACCAAATACTAGTTCCCTCTCTTTATTGCACACTATGGCTTTCACTGGAAGGATTGGCATTCCTGCTTTAAATACGATTACTTTGCATTATCAAGATAGCACCTAGACAGACACAATAAATTTGGTACTTTTTTTAATCAAATGTTACTTTGGGGATACTTTAATTGTGTTGCAACTGACACATTTAAAAACTAGTACTTTTAATTCACGATTTTTTTATGTCCTATATTAAATGATGGGGCTCTTGGTGAAAGGATTTTCTACTTTTACCATATCTGTGGGCAAATCTTATTCTCCACTGGTGCTCGATATATATAGGAGTCTGATACATACTTGATATAATGCTAAATAAGTTGGAAATAGATAATGTTAGACAGCACACACTCTGTGTGATCTGTTTTCATAACCTGACTTTCTGCTTTAAGAATGGAGGTAGTTATTCTGTGCTTGAATACAATTCCAGTTGGGATATACTGCAGGGAAAAAGTAATTATTTACTGATTGGAATTATCATATGTAATCAACCTTGACAATGTTCAAGACAGTGTAGGAGCCTTATTTTTAAATGAAATTACAGAGAATGGCAATAATTAATGCATTGAGCTATCGCAGAATTATCACAGGGATTATATATCAAAAGTACAGCAGAGCCTCCTCACATTCTTTAAAAGATGTTAGGAAGTCTGTTACTTAATGCAGTGCAGTTTCATGCTGGAACACAAATGTTATACTGTAAGTAACTTACTGTAGCATAGCAATCTTTTTCCCTTAATCTGAAGCAAATAACAGCACACTTCCAAAACTCTTGTTTTTATACTATACTGTATATAGAAGTGTTCATACAATATATTTTATTGTAAACAACCTTAAAACACAATAATTCTGTCTTAATTAATATAGTTTTATTGCACAGCAGCCTTGGAAAAAAACTTCATACATTTTCTAAAAGTTTTTTCCACGCCTTGTCACTTCTGCAGCTACTCTGGAGTTTAAAATAAATGGTGATCAAGTCAATACATAATGAATGTACAGTAAGTGATTTCTGTTGCTGTGACACATTTGTGTGAGTTTGGAGAACTGTTTAATTAAGGAAGCACAATAGAAAATGTTTATTCGAACAACAACCACAGCAACTTATACAAAATGTTCAAAAGATAGTTGGTAAATAATAATGCTCAAGAGTTTTGAAAAAAAGTTGATGCAATTACAGTAGTCGAAGAGATGGTGAATGCAATATTAAGTTATGTGGTATGTAACGGCTTTGAATAATGGTGGCATGGCTGTCCTGTTTTTACAGAAATAGGAACTCTGAGGCAAGATAATGTATTTAATGGATAACTGCATATGACAAATTTTGACAATGAGCTGTGCATACACATCGTTTGTCAGCCATTTAATTGATTGCTTAACTTAGATATTGGACTACATCTTTGGAATATCAGGAATTAAGGTACACTGTGACACAACAGCAAGCTAAAATGTAGTTTCCTAAATGATTTGTAGTCAGGACACTCTTCAGTCATTTTGATGCTGTGGCAGATGAGTCTGAAACAAACCGGAAACGGTAAAGCTGTATATGATACTATGTGAATGAGCGCTAAGAAAATGTCTGTTTTCATGTGGAGAAATGTTTGAGTAATGAAAAGGAAATACATTATAACTTTTATTAGTGTGTCTAAACTAAGAAATGCAACATTTTCTTTTTCATTTCTGTCCTTATTAGCTTTGAACAGTTTCTAATAGAATTATTATGCTAGTGTACAGTAGGAATATGGCAAGTTTCTGTTTATGGTGTTTTTATAAGGGGCATCAATCGGATGTACTCTGCCTTGTGCCAGAACAGGCTCCGGGTCCCACGCGACACTGAAATGGATCAAGTGGTTGGAAACGGACAATGGGTGGATGTTTTTATAGATCTGTTAGAATGACTTAGTTATCAGAAAACCTTTTAGCAGTTTTTGAAGAAATTTAAGAGTCACACATCTGAATTGTTAAAACTAACTAATATATTATACATAACATGCTTTTATTAGCTTTTAATAGAGTCTAATTGCCTTTTTGAGGAGTCTCAGTTCTCAAAATTCTCCTGACCAATATCAGTTGTAAAGCATAATGAAAATAAAATTCAAGGACAAGGAACTCTTAGAAATTCTAAGAAACTTCTTAGAAATTCAATGGGTTGACATTTACTCCGCAAGAACGGATTTGGTGTGGAGATCTTTGAACACCCTGCTGTACAGCTTGCTCTCTCTATTTGTTTTTAAACTGTGCAGTCCATCTTTTGTGGAATACCAAATACATTTCTTCTTAGATTTCTTGTTAGTGTGCTATAAGAATACTGTCTATGGTTTCTGTACTCTTCTGTTTTTTTAAGTTCTCCAAGGCAATATGAGAATATTAGAATTTTCATATCATTAACACATGTACCACAGTTGACAGCTTGAGTAGATTTTTTCTTCACATGGCCTGAAATGTAATTTGTTTCCCGTATTTTTCTTTTACCAAGCCCAGCTGGGAACTCTATTGCAGTTTAGAAATATAAAAGGTTTCCCTTGCAGAAATGATCTACAAGGTATCCTCATCAAAGAACTTTGTGCAGTACAGCAGTACTGAAAGAAGGAGACCTCAGGGATTTTCATCACACTTTTGGAGATGGTAATTTGGTATTTGAATTTGATAGCCGTCAAGAATCTAAGTATAAACAAACATCTGCTGTCTTAATTTATGCTGAGCTTCATTGCACTGTTTTACATGCATTACAGTCAACTACATGTGACAGGACTCTTCATATTTAGCTGTTGAACTTTTTAATTGAACTGCCTTTACAAATGGTCTGACAATCAAGCACAGTCATGTAAAACCTGATTACTGCAGTGGTGTAACCATTACACATTAATTATAATGTCTAAACCTTTGATATTCAAGTGAAGCCTTTAATTTGTGAAGTGTGATAGGATCTTGTGTTTATCTGTTTGTGTAACCACTCAAAATACAGTACTCCATATGCAACATTTCAAGATTTAGGGTGTTAGATCCATAGGATTTAATTGCTGATGATTATAGTTACAGTAAGATGGCTAAGTGCATAATAATTCCTCAGTCTCACAAAGCATAGTTGATAAATTATATTATATATTAAGACAATTAATAACAATAGTAGGTTAAAAACAGGTCTGAACAAAAATTCAGTCGTAGCACTTTAATGCATTAAAATACTTCCCACATTTCAAAGGATTTAAAAATATGTTAGGTCCGTAGAATTATGATAACTTCAAAGGAATATAATTACTGTAATTACAAAGCTGGTTAGACATAAATGATGCCTTTTGGAAATTTAACATTTGTTTTCTTTTTTTTGTCCTTCGCTTAAGCCTTTGTGCCTCTCACCTTTCAGATTTTGAGAATACAACTTTGATATTGCCTAAGGAATATACAGAAATATACACAAAATTCCTGAATTATGGTCAGAATAACTGTGATCTAATGGTTTCCTTAATATTATTAGTGCTACAGCACTGCATACATTTATCTTTCTTGTGAAACATAGCCTATGTGCTTAATTGCAAAATCATTAAATTAGAACAAATTAAAGTTTTATGTATTCCTGTATTCCCAGGTTCTTTTCAGTAAGTGCTGTAGTGCCACTCTTCTAATTATAGTTGAACTTTCACAGCAGTATATATTGAAATCATTTAAGAAAACAACTTGGGCACATTGAAAAACATCCCTTCTTGTAATGCAAGGAAACTAAAAACGAAATAAATAATCCAGAACCATTTGTAATTACTCTGCATGTCTTTTTTTACAGTATACAAGAGTAGAACACCTTCTACTCTTTTTGGTGTCAAAAGAACAGGTTAAATCTTAGTGAAATGTAATATAAGACGCACGGCCGGATGCTCCTATGTAATAGCTCTGAATGTTGAGACTGAATTGTTGATTCCAGTTAGAAGTGGTTTCATGTTGTTTCTTGAAGGATTTAAACATGTCTTTAAATTTAACAACATTTTTAGATTTGTGTCATTCTGTCTGAGATGTCCACATTTTATATCTTTATTTGAACTTTAAATACTTTTTTAGAGCTTCCCCGAACAACCGACATTTTCAATCTGGTGTTCACTTTGTTCTGGAGAAATACAGCATCTTATTTTAACACATTGTGAAGAGGAATGCTAAGGTAGCATTTGTCAAGATAAGTATCTTTGTTATGTCTATTTTGTCTTATTTGCAGGAGCCATGAAGCTTTTCTTTATGGTTCTCAAGTTCTTTAAACATACTCACAAGTCATACCAACATAAAATAAACACTGTTCATTAGAGGCATACTGGAAAGCTTTTTCTGCACATCAGAGATATGTATAAACTGTTGTGTCTAACAAATGACAACAGTTCCAGTTTCAGTGTAGCAGAACTCTTTTTTTCTTACATACTGTATGCATATGGGATCTTAGCTCTTGCAGGCCAGACTCAAAAAAGTATTACAAAGAGTAGTCTTTTTATACAGTAAAGTCTGTAAAACCTGTCCATAAAAGGGATTTGACATTGACTGTGCACGTGAAGAGCATCAAGCAAGTTCCTCTTCGTTTTTGTAACTCTGCCAAGAACATATGGCAGTCATGCCTTGCAACATAACATA